TATTTTATTTATAATTTTAAAATTTTAAAATATAAAAAAAATATGTTAAAATAATATAGAAGTAGGTAGTTATAGTTGGTTATTTTCTATGCTCATAAGAATATGAGATTCCCACCCTTTGACATGAGAATAAATATTTAAACTTTCATGAATAAAAGATATTCCGTAGAATAAAAAATTTCTGGGTAAAATGTGTGAAAACTTAAAACATACATAGGAATTAGGGGTGTTCGCAGTTTGGTTTGGAACGGTTTTAAGACAAATATCCATTTAATCCAAAGATAAATTTATTTGTGGTTTGGTTCGGTTTTAGATGATATATTAAAAAAATTCAATCCGATCCAATCCAATTTTATATGATTTAATTTAGATCGGTTTTTGAATATCCAAATTACGCATTATATTTTTATTAATATTATAAAACTACTAATAAATCATAGATTTGATATAATATATAATATATAGTATATTAAAAGTTAATATTACAAAATGAGAGTGGTTGATTATGGTTGAAATAATAAAAATCAATAGATTATACCAAGCTAATAAATATTATTAAAAAAAAATATTATCATCTAATAATAAATTCACGTAACATATCATTACTAATAAAAAGTAAATAAGTATAAAAATATATGTATGTGATTCGGTTTGGTTTGAATCGGTTTTAAAAAATTAATTCGAAATCTAATATAAACCGATCGATTTTCATAAAATAACATTCAAACACATTCAACAAATTTCTGTTTTTTTACGATTTTCAATTTTTTGAATTGACTTTTTATGTTTTATTTGAATTTGAATACTCCTAATATTGACTTTTTACATTGGAAGGAGCCTAATTTTCCCAATCAAATAGCAAGAAAAAAAATTAATTTTCTATACCAGCAATCGTGCCGTGAGACAAACCATCTTCATTCCAAACTTGTTGGAAGTTGTCCACAATCTCATGCTCTCAAACCAACTTGACATTGACGTGTTTAAATGTTTTTTTGTAAATTTAACTTTAACACATTCATTTTAATTTTTAAGTTTTTAGTTTGAATATATTTTTAAATTCTTTTTATAAAAATTGATTTAATATAATTAATTTATTTACATTTGGAACATAAAACTCTTCACTTTTCAACTGCTTAAAGTGTTTAAGTCTAATAGTTGAACTATCAATAAATGAATATTTATCTATTAAAAAAAAAAAATACTACCAAATGTCTTGTATTATTCTTTAACCAAATGTCTTATATTATTCTTTAGTGTTATTGATATTTACATTATATTAATGGCTTTAGTAATAATCTAATATATGTATGTATTATTCTCATTCTAATTCAACATGAATATGACAGGTCATTTTATTACTTTTTTAAATTTGAAAATTTCCACTTGTATTTATTTTACCTACTAGTTTTTACTTTCATTTTATTTTTTTCTCTCTATTTTCTCTTTTTATTTTTTTTAAATATAAATAAATAAATATATTGAAAAAATATACTCAACCGAAAACATAATCATTTTATGATTATTAAAAAAAAATTTATAATTATTAAAGAAATTATTTTTAAATATCAAAATTTTTATTTTTTTCACAGACTATTATGAGAAAAATATTTATTTTATTTTAATTAATAATTCTCTTTATTTGAGACACATCATTCTTATTTTTAAATATCAAAATTTTTATTTTTTTCACGGATCACTATCAACAAAATATTTATTTTATTTTAATTAACAATTGTCTTTAATTGAAACATAAAATTCTTATTTTTAAATATCAAAATTTTTATTTTTCTCACAGACCACTATCTGCAAAATAACTATTTTATATTAATTAACAATCATCTTTATTTTAATCACAATTTTTATTTTCAAAAATTAAAATTGAATTTATATCATTATTATTATTATTTATTTCATAATTAAATAATTCATTTTAAATTTATATGCACATATCTAAATCAATTTATATCGTATTAAATAAATTTAGTCGTGCAGATGATGAGATAAGTAGTTTAACAAAAAAAATAATAATTTGTATCTATGCAGAACAAGCACATACTCAAATACCTCTTGCAATTTATTTATCATATCATAATACTATTAGTACTTTCCCATTCACAAGATATCAATATCAACACCATACCTCATCTCTAGACCTCATTGGCTAGAGGCTTTTCCCACACAACCTTGCCCCTTCCAATTAACCGACCCTTACAAGCAACAGACAAATCTCTCATTGTCCAACCATTGGGTCCTTCACGTGTGGGGACTTGGGTATAGCCATGAAAGTGACTTAAATGCTTGTACTTTACCTTTTTAGTTTTATTGCATTCTATTATTCTTAATTCAATGCTTCAACTTGAACTGATGAAATTATATATTTACTATAAGATATAAGATGTGATTTTGATTAACTGGGAGTATGTGTAGTTTATGTCTCACCGTAATTTTTCACGCTAAATGCTAAATAATGAACAAATCAGAAGACCACCAATACATTAGTGAACAAAACACAAACAGAATCACCATATTTTCTTTAATTCTTTAAGGTTTATACAATGATAATTACGAGCCTCGAATTTACAGTTACCACTGGAGCTTTGAGCAAAACTAGCAGATAGCAACAGCGATCATGTTGTTGCTACCACAAGAGGTTTTCTGTGCGCAAATACGCTCCAGGAAACTTCTTGGAATGTTTTCAAAAAACAAAAAACAAATCCAAAAAACTAACTGTATATTATATAGTTATAGCTGAGTATGTTCTCTTCTATACACTATATATGGCTTTTTAAGGGACTTGTCTTCCAAACCACAAGCGACTTCAGAAATTCCATCACCTGCAAAAACAATTTCATCGTAAATACAACAAGTCACGATAGCGCGGTAATCGTAAATAAGTACAAATTCGGTTGAAATGTGAGTTACCTCGGACGGATCACGAAGAGAGTAAATTGCGTTGCTTTCCTTTGGTGCCGAAGAGACTAATATCCCGTAACCTTTATTTCCCTCTCTCAAAACCTGTTACAGTTTATCTCATAATAATCAGTAACTTAAACTAGAAGCAAACAAGTGGAGTTCTCTCACAGCAAGCTCGATATTACCTTAAACGCATCTTCGTCTGTTCGATCGTCGCCGATATAAATAGGAAGCACATCGTCACAATTGTTAAGTCCTAAAACACACATTTGTCATGTCATTTACTGCACAAAACAAAGAACCCTGAACCGTATACTAAAGAAACAGAAAATGAACTCACCGAGTGACTCGAGTAAAAACGTGACAGCTTTTCCCTTATCCCAGTTAATCACAGGCCGGACCTCTAAAACCTATAAAAGAGAAAACAAAACAACCTTCAGAAGAACTGTGAAAATTGATTGTCCTAAAGGAGTCAAAAAGTTGGATTTTTTTACCTTGCGACCATGAGTTAACCGCAAACGTGGAAAGCCCTTGAGAACATCATTAACTCGTCGCCCCACCAAATCCCAACTCTATTAAATTGAAAAGAAAAATATACAAACATAACATGTAATAAGTTGATGAAGAGAGTAATATAATAATCAATGTTGCAGAAAATTTATCAAATATAAGAACGAAAGCCTATACCTTCTCGTCTACATTGCGGTAATGAACAGATACACAAAATTTATTGTTCTCAATTTTTGATCCTTTGATGTCTTTTGTACACTCGATGAGAGACTTCAAAACCTGCCAAAACACAAGTCGATCAGGATGTAACATTCCAATAACAAAGGAATATATTCAAAAAAATTATTCATAGTAGTATTTCTCAAATATCCACCTCATTAATCATAGGAAGGAACTCAGCAGCAGGTTGGAATAAATTAACCTTTTTTCCCTGTAATTTTGAAGATCATAAGAGAGGCTTCAATATACTAAGAAACTCAAACAATTTCACAATTGGATGAGGTAGAAGAAACTTTGAAGTTTGACCACAGTACCTGCTTAAGTGATACAGATAGAGATTGTCTAACAGGGCCGATTATGTCCATTCCATGACTACCAGCATAATAGAGCTCGGTTAGTCCTACAAATTCATGCACCTGAACCAATAGAGAGTAGAAAGAAAGTTATAAACAAAACAAATAACCACTGGGGAGACTTGTTGTTAGCGCTTTTTGAGATTTGATGTCTGCCCTGGCCTTGGTGAGCTCCCAAGACTTCAACTCACCTGCGCTTTTCGTTACCAAAAAAAATTACGAGAAAAAAAATTGTGCTAGATAGAATTATTTTACTACCTTGTCACGACTTCTTCCACTAATTATTGCGGTTGGAAAATACTCGGCCACCTTTTTAACAGCAGCACGCATCTGCAAAATTTACATGATCAGAACCAGGATAGGAAGAAAAGATATAATGGACGGTAAAATGGGTGAGAATATCACATACATTCTCCGACATGAAGGCACAGTCAGGGTTATCCACAATTGGTGAAAGAGTTCCATCATAGTCCAAAAACAATGCAATTCTTTTGCCTTTTGCGTAGTTTGTAATTTGATCAAAAGATGAAAGCGCTGATGGATATTTTAGCTGCGAAATTAACAAAATTAAAGAAGGCAATAACATAAATAACATAGTAGAACTCAGATACTAATCGAAAAGGGGAGTATGTAATACCAGCCAGTTAAAATAAGGATCAGTTTCAGATGATGCAAACCCGTGATTAACATCCTTAGTTACATTCTTCGGTGGAGGTGAAGATGATTTCATGGCATCCAACCAATTGCAAGAAAGAACGTCTTCGGGAATTCTCGTCTTCTTCCTTGGGATATTCAATAGCATACCGTGTGAAAAGGTTGCACCGGTATGGGAATAAGGCAACAAATTGGAATGCACGTGTAGCCTAGAATTTGTTATCGGAGAGGTATCCGTGAGAACAGGAGTATTATTCGAATTCATGTCCATAGGATCCAGGTTGTTTAACAAGCCAACTCACGTCAAAGTGATAATGTAAGAAGAAACTAATATTTTATCAGATTTCCACTTCACCCAACTCTTTTATCGATAAAAAACCACCTTTTCAATGTTTTCTTGTCACTACTCTTGGGGTAGCAGTCCATCAACCGCTGAGCTCCTGAAATATCGATCATATCATAGATTTTAGATAAAATTAAAGTTGTGTTGTCAATCATGAATCACGAAAATAGAAACACGTTCAAATTCCGCTACGATAAAGCTTCTGATACTTGACAACATTAGATTAAAATCACAGAATACCGAGTGACAGAATAAATGAAATAAAGTTTGAGTCCACCTTTTCATCTTCCTATCAACTAAGAAAACGATATACAGGTTACAAATAAGAACCAGCAAACATGATTTTTTTAAAATAAAAACATGTTAAGTTCTAAATGGAAATGGAAAAATAGCTTGCATGTCAGATGGATGTGAAAACAAACAAACAGTGCGGCGATAATGACTCGGTCAACATAAATTCAACAAAATCGAAGATGCTATAAATATTACACTGTAAAACACATGAAGCAACCTGAAGCGAAGCCAGGGAGCATGAAGAGAGAAGTAAGGGAGAAAGAAGTAAGGGAGAGACAGCACTGAGTTTCAGTTAACAAAAGCATAACAAAGTATGATATTTTATTAGCCATTTATAACAATAAAAGCGGTAAAATTTAAAAAATTAAAAGTAAAAATGGAAGGATTCTTCCAATTATTGATTGGTCTAAAAATTCAGTTCACTAAAATCCAAGTAAAAAGGCTTATCCTACTTGGAGTGACATAAAGATATGAAACACACAAAGTACAAGTTGGCGTTAATTGACAACTATACATTATTGAGGTTGGGCCGTGAGCGATGATTGAGTAATTTACGAGCCGTAGAATCATGTAAGTTCAGGTACTAGTATGAGAAAAGAATGGCATAGAAAAAGCATCTTTAAAAAATCTGTACTAGAAAGTTGAACACTTTTGCTTGCTTTTAGCAGTTGCACTTAACTATGGAAACAAACAACGTTGGGATTGTATACTCAATTATTATTTATAGAACTGTACACCACAACAGCTGCTAAAAAACAAGGACTAGTATAGTTTTCATATCATGTATAGTATGATTATCACCGGTGTAGTCAAGATCGAGTGTTGGATCGTAAGATCTTACGTGCTAAGGATGCATGAGAGTGCTACGATCAAAGAAAGATCGTTTTCGTCATCGGCGTGGTCAAGATCGAGCTTTTTGAAGCAAGATGGTAAAAAAAACATGTTGGGTTTTTTTACATGTATTATAATTTTCGTGTATGTTGGTGTATATATACGTATGAAATTTCCATTTTTCCTTCGATAGGATCTTACATACCGTGCTAACAACCCGAGTTTTGCAACCTTTTACAATGAATTCACTATTACAACAAAGTTGCAATGAATTCACTATTACAATAATCATTAACAGACTAACTCGTCAACACAGGTAAATAACATGAAGCATAATAAGTTTAAAGACAATAATTTTTTAACATCTTCGAGAATTCGTTAACGAAAAACAATTAAACTAATGTTGATTTTCTGCATAATGTAAAGTAGTACTACCCCACCAAGTGGACACAGAAAAGAAAAACAAAACCATATACAACCATACAACAAGGGCCTACAAAGCATGGAAGTTAATAATAGATATGGACCCTAACAAATTAATTAAAGATTCTTCAACTAAATACACAAAATGACAATAGAATAACAATAAAACATTGATGTATGGAATTAAAAAGTTGTCAAAACTTTGTATACCATCAAATTGAACAAGTGAATACCGGTAAATTGAATCAATGATGAAGACTTCATAATTTGACATTATATACTCATTTTTCTTTATATTGTATACTTACATTTTACATGATTCAAAAAAGTTAACATGATGGAGACAACTAACAATTAGACTCAAAACAATCAAAGTGTGAAAACAAATAACATCACATCAGCTTAATCAAAAAAACAGCTCTAGGCAAAACATAAATCAGAATCAATCCAATAACTGAATTAACCAATCACACAACCATTGGTCAAAGTAGATAATTATACAATTAGGAAGAAAGTAAGGTGATTTTTTCAATCAAATTAAATCATGTTATAATGTGGCATATGACAAAACAATTAAAGGTTTTATTTAACCACGTTTTAAATGTGACAAATTTTGAATCATCTGAGTTATCCCGCATTGCACATCCTCAAAGACGGCCCTCCTTGCATAGATCCTGACCTTTCCTAAACCTTTTAGGATACTAATACAAAAGTGACTAATCATTAAAGAGTAAAGGTAACACGAAACATTCACAAGTCAAAAAGGGCACCAACCCTTTTGAATGTTGAAGAAATTAACCAATCATCACCAAACAAAACACAACATTTAATAAACTCGAATCCAAATTATATAATAATCTTCTCATAAGAAACAAAACCAATCAAACTTTTTGGAGTTATGAGAAAAAGGGGAAAAAGTGAGAAAGAAACAATATCATACCTAAAAAACGAGCTCCAACCACGGGAAGAAAGAAACGAGATTGGTCATGAATCAATCTTCACAATGCAATTTCAAGTTTGATAAATCCAATAAAAGGGTCGCGGAAAAATGTGTTTTTTTTAGTTAGGTTGTCGAAAAATAGAAAACCCAGAAAAAGACAAAAGGGGCAAATGCGTTTTGGGAATGAAATTATTGGCAACCAAACATGCCCTTAGAGAGAGAAAGTAATGTGAGGTGTTGAGAGAGAAAGTAGAGAAGGGGAGAAATGGTGTGAGCTGTGAAATGGATAGAGAATGCGGCGAGAAGAGGGAAAGAAAGGATGGAGGAAAATGGGGATTGGGTATTTATAGGGTTTTGAGAATGATCTAAACGTGCTTTACAAGGAAACTGATGAAGGTTGTTGAATTAGGAAACACCACCAATAAAAAGTAATGAAAAATTGAACATGGTTTCTAAAATAAATGAATAAATACAACCTCAAAGTCATCAATTTGATACCCATTCTTATTCACGCGCTTATATAATATACTCGGTGGTTATCATAATGTCAAAAGCATTTTATTAGAAATATATAGTATAAGTAAACTCAATCTACCTAAAAATCTTATTTTGTCATTTTGTTTCAAAAATAAATACGAAGTTTCATGTGTGTTAGACAAATCAAATTTTTGTTCTAACCAAAATTTTCTTTCACAATTAATCTTTTTCTCCTTATTTCTTATTTCGCCGAACCTTAAAATTGTTGGTTACATAATCGTTCGTTTCCACTTTTCCTCATTCCACTACCTCTCTATGGCGGTTACATTTTTTTATCAATCATGACATTGAGGGAGCGTTTCAATGTTGTAAGAACTGTTTTTCTTTCAAACTTCTTCCTCCTCATCTTCCCTCTTCCTCTTCACAGCGATAGACGGTTTGAAAGTGTTAGATTCTTTATCGAAGAAGAACATGAAATCAAAAGGGGGAATAGGGCTACAGTGGTTGTGGCAGCGGCTTGGATGTGATTGAAGCGATCTTCACGGTTGGTTGCAGAAAAGGCGTGGTTCTGGATAGTTAGTGGCAGAAGGGTAGTCTGCGGTGCAGGGTTTGTGTCTTTCATAGAGACATCAACATGCTTCCCAGTGAGTTGTTCTAACCATTGTTCTTTTCATGTGTTGTCTCTTTGCTCTATAATATCATCATTGATTATCAATTGTGAACTTATATATCTCTAATTGAACTTGGGGGAAATGGTTTTTATGATTAAAGTTGTCATTGTTAGGTGTTTGCAGAAAGGCCATAGACAAATTGTGTTTGTAATGAAATTTATGATTTTAGGCTTTCTGTAGTTAATATGTGTGATATGAACACTTTGTGTCATTGCGATTTAATTCTTTTTCCTATTTTACTATACATTTTAGCATGACAATGTAAAATGTATAATTGCAGAGCCGTTATCGTCGTTGGATGACTCTTTATCTGCAAATGATGGATAAAAGGTGTGCGTCGGTTATCAGGTACCGTGTGTAAGTGTTTCTATGTGTTAACCATTGTCTCTTAGGATTGTCGAGTGTGACAAAGGTAGTTGTGGACTCTATTTCTTATCAAGAAGATGAGTTTATTAGTAACACACCATATTCAATATTTAAGTAGTGGAATATGTACTTTGTTACAATCAATCTTAGAGTTACTGGCTAGGAGTATTGTACAGTAGTATGTTTTAACAATCTATCCTTATGTCACGAAAATTTGTATGCGATTTTCAGTTACCATTGACTCAACCTTCATGTGCAGATCTTCGTGTTTTTATTCTCGAGTAATACAAATCTTTTTATTTTGCTGCTATTGTGGTAACCATGTGTTTTGTATCTCTGTTGTTCATAATATATTTGTTGGGTTGATACAGCTGCCAGAGCATTAGATGTTCTGAACTTCACTCCACTAAACAACATGCCCATTCATATTATGTATTCACATCATGATCCTAGCATCCGCAAAAGTGGTCAAGAAAATATATTTATTAAGATATAATTATCTTCGTTTTTCCATTCTTGTCTGATAATGGAAAAAATCACGCTAAGCTTCCGGATTGGATATCCTAGATTGACATGTTTGAACTATTATATATTGATTATTGCTGAATTTGGACAAGGCAATTGACCATAAGGCGTTGCATGATAACTTTTCTACATTTGGGAGTATGCTTTCTTGCAAGGTAGTTGTGGATGGATCTGGCCAATCAAAATGCTACAAATTTTTTCAATTTGATAGTGAGGAGGTTTCTCAAAAAGCTATTGAAAAGCTTAATGGTATGTTGTTTAATGATAAGAAATTTTATGTGGTACCCTTCCTTCGCAGCCAAGAGAGAGACTACAGCTCACAGGGCAAAATTCAACAATGTTTTTGTTAAGAATCTATCGGAAACTGAAGATGTGAAAAACACAAGAAGGGGGGTTGAATTGTAAAACTTAAATCAAAAGGCTTGACAACACAATATTTTTATCCTGATTCGTTTGATCTCAAACTACTCCAGTCCATCCATCAAGGTGATTTCGCCTCTCTCCAACGAGGTCTTAATCCACTATTCTCAAAGAATTACAACAGCTACTTTAACAACTGTTAAAGTCTTCTTGAGTACAACCACAATCCGGTTAATCTCAAGGAACTTCTTTTAGAAATGAATTGAACAAGTGTGTGTTGTTGTTTTCTTACAAAACTGTATATCACAACTGTGATAATTACACAAAATAAGCTTGGAATGAAATGAATTTGCTAAAGCTTTGAATATGCGTGGTTTGAATAGCTTCGCAAATTGAGTGCGTACGTACGTGCTTCTTTTCACAAGCAGTCCTGTTTATATAGGCAAGCAAGGATACATTGTCCATAAAGCAGGTTTAATAATAATGCACTTTCCTTTTGTAGAAGATCTTTGTCTGAAGAAAGCCGTTAGCATTTAATTCAGTCTTGAATACCAGTAACGCTTTAGAGTCTTCTTTGTTGTATCTGCTGATAATGCTTCAGAGTGTTGATGACTTCGTAAGGATGTATTTGATCAGAGTCAGAGTGTATCTGTTTAGGCGCAGATTCTGTTCATCAGGCTTCAGCGTGTGGTCTGGTAGTTTCAGCGTGTAACTTAGATTACTGATCTTCTGATGCTGATTCTATTCTGATTCCATCAGAACTTCTGCATATACAAAACATACTTTTAAGGAGCATAATTGTTCTTTGTATATATATCTTTGAAATAATTTATTCTTTGTATTTTGTTATCATCAAAACTCTAATCAAGGGTTGTAGAATCAAACTATGTTCTAACAATCTCCCCCTTTTTGATGATGACAAAAACCAGATTTTTCAATAAAGAATAAAGGATAAAAAGTATAGAATTAAGAAGAGAAACTCCCCCTGAGTTAATTACTTCCTTTTAATTCCATGAGTCTTTGAGCACCAGAATCTTACTGTATCTTTCAGCAGAGTTTTGTACCTGTTCACGCTTTTTAGAAAAAGAGAATTCAAGTAGATTAGAATGTTTGAGACTTCTTATGTCTCAGTAATCCGTTATTGAAAATATCTTTTTTTTCTCCCCCTTTTTGTCAGTTATCAAAAAGAACATATAATCAGAGCCAAAAGGAGTTTAGAGTAAAAACAGAAACAACGATAAGTTCAGAACAACAGCAATGTAAGAATATTACAGATAAACACGTTTTAAAAACAGAGAAAATTCTAAGAGGGAGGAGGAAGACGCGTGAACAAAGCTTCCAACAAGCCTTTAATCTGGATGTTGGTTTCCTCCTGCTTGGTTAACATGCTCTTGATTTCCGAAATGTTGTCATCCTGTTAATCCCCATTCTTTCCTGCACCAACCTATCAGATCTCTTCAGATCTTCTAGAGTCTGTCTTTCATAGGAGGAGGCTTGAGAATCTTCAGTAACTGGATGCTTCTCAGAGCATTATGCAATGTCCTCTTTTTGACCCAGTTCTTCAGCAGGAATCATCTGTTATGGAGTATCAGTCAGATTGAGATCTTCTGACTCTGGTTGAGCTTTGTCTGCTGGACGATGTTCTGACCAGGGAGAATTGTCCAGAGGGAGAACTTCTTCCTTGAGCAGCTGGCTCAGAACTTGATCTTCAAATACTTTTAGCAGGTTATTGAAGTTCTGTTGAACTTATCCGTAGCTCTGTTCTTGCATCTTATGAGTTTCAGAACATACCCATTTTCTGAAACTTGTCCAAATATAATCTGATGCAGCAGGATCAATCAGCTCAAGACTAGCTTTCTTTAGGGAAGTTATCCACTTCTGTATGTCTGTTTCAAATATCAATAAGTTGGTACCAACATCTGGTGTAGATTCAGATGGTTTTGGTTTTGGAATGGCTGTTTTGTTGGTTATGGCAGCAAGGCGTTCAAAAATAGTTAAATCAATGATAGTTTTGGCATTGTCATTTAGATTGATCTTTGGTGAGGGAGTGGGAGAGTCTGGAATGATTATTGGACTAGTTGGGGAGTTTGGTGGAGTTGATTCTAGTGAAGAGGGAATTTGGGGAATATCCAGAATGGTCAGGGGTATACGGATGGCCAGAGGTTCAGTGATTCCAGGAATGGGAATGGGATCAGAATCAACAGTTTGGTTGGATTGACGGTGATGAAGTTCTGGTTCACAGGATTCAGGAGGTTGGACCTCAGAAGTTTGAACTTCTGGTTGTAATAGTTCGGGTTATGGAGAAGGTGGATGAGTTTCTAGTTGAGGAGAGAATGGAATTTCTGGTTGAGGTGCTTCTGAAATGGTTTCAGAGTTTGGATTTATTGGTATGGGAGCAGATATATGTTGGTCAAAGGTTTCAATATCTGATAGAACTTTTGCAAGTTCTTGTTGAGTTACTTCAATATTTGGATTTATAGGTAGGGAGTGAGATCCTCTAAGAGTTAAAGTTTCTGAGGGGTCAAAATCAATGTCAAAATCATCAAGTGTTTGCGGAGTAGGATTTTCTGATTGAGTGGGGATTGGTACAGATGTTGATACAGATACTGAATCTAAAACAGTTACAGAAGAAGGATTACCTCTCTTTTTGGGAGTCCGTTGGGATGACCCTTCTGCTGCAGCCTTCCTTTTCTTGTTTTTCTTCAGCACAACTTCTGGAGCCTTCTGCTGCAGATACTGAATGTTTAAATCTGGTGTTGTACCATCTGCGTTGCATGCATCCAGATATCTGACTATTATCTCAGGTTTGGAATCAATTCCTGAGAACATGGGAAAGTTATCCAGAGGAATTCTTTCGCTTGAGATTGTTGCAAAAGAAGTGACATTGGGTTCCTTCTTGATGTTCTCAATGATCTTCATCTTCTTCAGATTATTTGCATTCAATTGTTTGCCAACAATTGCTTCTAAAGTGCTGATTTCCTGTGCTTCAGTTAGATGATCTATCAGCTTATTCTCTGTCAGAATATCTGATATGAGCCTTCCAAGGGGTATCTAGTCCCTTTTTGTGCGCTCCTCTTCTCTGGTCTCCTTAACACTGGTCCTTAGATGATTGAACAGCAGATGATCCAGATTCACCTTAATCTTCTAGGAGATGAAGTAGATCAGAAACTGCTGATCAATGTTGATGTAGTCAGGAGAGCTGGTTGGCTTCCTGTGGTTTATGCATCCCAGAATAATCTTAGCCCATATTCTGTGATGGTCTTTCAGATCCCTTATCTTGTTGGAGGGAAGACCCAGAGTGAAGATTTCTCTAGCAATTAAGGCGACATCAGCACATCTTTCAGCCATGTCTATGCATCTTACGCCACCACCACTGTAACCTATCAGTCTTGCAATAAGGTCTTCAGTTATGACTATCTTCTTCCCTATTATATACGAAGTAACTTGATGGTTGGAAGATGAAGCATGAATCCAAACTTCCTTC